GTATAATTTTGAATAACTTTGAATAACTTGAAGGTATAGAACTCACACAAACAAAAGGGAACTTTGTTTGGCATATACAGTGATCGCACTCCAGGACTTTGCAATAAGAACTATCGTTTGCACACGTTTTACAGTAGTTCATTTCATGATCATTAATAATTCATTTCATGGTTGTTATTGCTGCTACTAGTGGTGATGAAAATTAAATCAAATAATTTTATTTCGAAAATTTCCCCTCCCTGGTATATATTGCAATAATGAAAATCTTCCACAAACATTCCTATTCACAAAAGCGCTCACACTCTCTGCTGTCCGCAAAAGATTCACACACCGTGAGAGACAGAACGGAACTTCATTCCAGAACGGCCAACTTTATACAAAAGACTCATCAAATATATATTTTGAATCAACAAACATAACAACAAATATTCATGTCTTCCGGGCTGATGGGCTGTGGTCCAATTGGCTTTGAGCTACCAAACGTTTCGCCCACGACTGCGGTGGGCATCCTCAGGGGTGAGGTCTCGGGCGAAGTGTCCGGGACTGTGGCTGACTGGCGAGTGACGCCGCGTTCTTTTTTTTTTATTTTTTTATTTGTTTTTTTTATTTCCCCTCTCCAGTTACCCTGGAGGGGCGGGAATTTATTTGCCTTAGGAATACATAATACCTGCAGCCGATGAGGCTTTTGCAGGTTGTAAGGGTAGTAACTTTAATAAACTAACTTATGCTAACTTAAAACTAATTACATTTCCTCTTTGGGAATTGTTTGTTTTATTTAGTTATAATGATTTTCGGGTTAGTTCTCTATATTGTTCTTATTTCTTCTTTTTTTAGTTCATTTTCACACGCATTCATTCTTGGCTATTTACAATCCCATTCATTCATACCCACAGCACTATTTACATTACATTTTGATCGCCACGGCGTCGACTTTACTCAAGCGTCCGTGGCGCCGCGACGTCTTCATTATCAGGCGACGCTAGCCTGGCGGAGCGCGTTTCCGCGCTGCCCGCGCGGCTTCCGGCATCCGTGAGCGGCGACCGTCTCCCGCGCACTTGCTGCTCCCCCGCGTCGCAGAGCTCAGAGAGCTTGTGCGGGGGCAGTGCGCGGAAGGTGAAGACGACGTGCTGAGGGCCCTTTCTTCTGCGGAAGGCCCTGTGCACGCCGCTGTTCGCCGCCTTGCCGGTCTCGCGCAGGATGCGCGGAGCGGACGGCCTCAGCGCCCTTGCGAGCGCCGTCTCCGCCCTCTTTTGTAGCTCCGCCGGGAACTGGTTGCGAACGCCTAAGATTCTGAAGACGCCAGCGTTTTTGGGTCTTGGGTCGGGTCTGGGAAGAGACAAGTGCGGGCGCGCCGCGGGCGCTCTGTTCTCCGCTACCCGGATGGGGTGCAGAGTGGAAGAAGCTGCCGCGAACACCTCACAAGCGTACGCCCACAAGGGACGCACGCAAGCTGTGAATAAGCGGCGCTTTAGAGGAATTGCTAGGTCGGGAGAACCCAGAAGAGGTTTCAGAAGGAGGGTGCGAGTTTTGATTTTGACAGCAAGATACCGAGCGTGCGCATGCCAGCAAAGGCCGTTGTCAAGTAGCACGCCCAAATATCTCGCTTCGCTCCGCCAAGGTAGATGCGTGCCAACCAAGCTCGCCGTTTCATTGGGGTTAGCCCTCTTACGAGTGAAGTTGACGGCGACGCATTTCTCGAGATTGAGAGCGAGTCGTTTCCGACTTAGCCATTCAGGAAAGGCGGCGAGACAATCACTTAAGTACTTAACTGACTGCCTTCCGCTCGCCGATTTCGCGTAGTACGCGAAATCATCCGCGAACATTAGCTCTACACGCGTGACAATTGTATTTTGCTTGAAAGCCGATTTCAATGTTACAGATTTACTGATTTCTGCTCAAGCTGAGAATTCAGCTGTGTTGCGAAACCTGCCCAGTTCGTGTCACGGGTAGTTCGAAAACTAACTTGACGTTTCGCTGCAAGGGACGCCACAACGCATGTTACTGGGTTATGATCGGAATCCAGTACGGCAATTGAGCGGGGAACCACACACTCAACGCCTTTCACAATCATAAAATCAATAACGCCCGGGATACTGTTTCGTACTTCCGGGAAATGCCTGGGGCTATTCGGTGCGCAGATCTCTACGCCCCGCCTTGTCGCTACAAGATTGGCAATTTTGTTGCCGTTTCTGTTTGCTCCGAGGCCGCTCCAAGTTCTATATCTGGCGTTAAAGTCACCCAGAAGGATATCTTTGGAATTTAGTGCGAGAAACGCACCAATTCCAGCCGGATCTAAGGTTTGGTCTGGGCAGTAGACGGATACGACTAGTAGTCGGCCGTTTCCTACCCAGACGTATGCCCCGACCGCCTCTAGAGTCGCCAGAGCAATAGCAGGGATTTCGGCTTCAAGCTGCGGAAGTTCTGGGCGCAGCGCGATTGCTACTCCGCCACCTGGCCTGTCAGCGCGGTCTCGGCGATAAACAGCAAATCCCCGGAGTTTGAATTCGTGTTCATCACTGAGCCACGTTTCTTGTAAAGCCAAGCAGTACATTTGTGCAGTTTTGTGAACGCACGAAAAAGTGCAATGCGCGTTCACGCCACCGCGGTGGGACCATTCCTACCCTTACGGGCATCTATGGCCAATCCTGTAACATAAAGAAAAACAAAAGGTCAAAAAATGACCTTAGCCTACCGGCGCGCGCATTGCGTGTTTTGTAATACTGTGTTTATGCCTCAGTCACACTTCTCTGTTTCAGATTGCTCTTACTCCAGAAAGTGCTTCGGTCGCCCTTTAATCGGGTTGGTAAGAGGCGATCGCGGAAATGAGATCATTTTCCGAGTCAGCTGCTTTCTCAAAAAAAATTTTAACTATAGTTTTTATATGATTTTTTAGCAGTGGCAATGATGCTTCGCGATGTAAAGTTTCTATACGAGTATATTTAGGGGCGCAGAGGGCGGCCCTGTGACACTCGTTTTGAACTACTTGCAGTTTGTTTAATAGATAATTTGCTGCGATTGTCCAACTTGGGCATGCGTAGTCTATTTGTGGCCTAATTATTGCTTTATAAAGCGTGAGGCAGTTTGTCGTTGCCAGTTTGCTCCGCTTGTGAAACAAGCTTCGCAATCTGCCTCGGGTCTGTCGCGCTTTCTGTCGCACATTTTCTATGTGCAGATTGTATGTCAAAGAGCTGTCTGAAGTAACTCCTAAATATTTGACATTTTTTGTCCAATTAATCGCGTCTCCGCATAGCGCGAGTGGCCTTGGCCGCGTGAATCTCTGTCACCGTGTGAAGAGTACAGCTGCACTCTTACCAGGGATGCCAGGCAGAACTAATTTTGACTCCTCCTTTCCTGTTAAAATTGTTCGGGTGTTTGAAAATTTCTATGGCGTCCCGTTGTAAGCAGGCGTGATAGTGGTTTGTAGATGATAAAATCTCGGTGTTGTGGAACAAAATGTCGTTTTCTTTTCCCGAAAGAGCATGTTCAGCCACAGCGGACCTTTCGGTGTAGCCGAAGCGGCTGTTCCGTTTATGCTCCGTTTATGCAGCTGTGGCGGTGCCCCGCTGGTGGGAGATACCTAGTTCGGAAAACAGGCTAGCCGTAGCTCGGTACCGGACGACAGTAGATTGCCAAACAGCGGGGAAGATCACCGCTGTCGCCAGTCGACGTTGCTGCAGAGCCACCCTTATCGCGTCCAAGCGGCGGGGCGGGCCAGCGACCTGTGAGGTCAGCACGGTGTGTCATTCCTTAGCGAGGGCGCAGTGACACACAGGGCATACTGCCGCATACGCTGAGCGCCTCCCCGGCGTGAACTCTGTGCTGTAAGGGATGACCAAACTCACGCCGGGGATAGCAGCAACCCCAAGTGTCTCCATCACTCCGTAAGGTTGACTCAGGCCACCCCAAGCTCCCAGCCGGGTATACAATCCGCGCCTTCGGGGCTAAGAGAGCAGTGGTGTACGAGTACGAGTGTAGTGGTGTACAGCCGTGTTCGGGGAGCAGTAGTCGGGAGAGTTCATCGCCGGCAGCAGCCAGTGTCGGGAAGACCAGCGGGACGGTGTGGACCGCACAGTAGTGAAGTACTATGTAAAATTCCTGATCGCGGCCTACGGGCCAGTTGGCCGGGCGGACTGCTAGCAGCAGACCCATTGCGTTGGACCCATACTCAACCAGAGTAATATACTCTCTGGTTGGACCCACCAGCGGCGGCCTTCACGGTCATTGGGACCGCTGCCTTACACCAGCGAGCTTCGCGGACGGACACGCCGGAGCCGACGGACGCGGGGCCACGTGTGGCACGACCAGGAGCAGGGACCACTATGTAAGCTATATTAATAAACATGTGTTATATCAGGGCTACGTGTTATACTTGATCCCCTTATGTCCCGTCGCGATAACCACCACCCACCATTATAAAACACGCACTACACTAATGGGATCAAATATTAATATAATATATTTGAATTTTTCTGGGGCATGGGTCCTCTTATAATTTTGCACGGCCAGCTGATTATTTTACATGTAGGTAAAATAACTGTGCGCGCAATCTCACTAATTGCTAATAAATCATTAAAAATTCGCCAAGAAACGGCGCAAGTAACCGTCTCAATGAAATTTTAAATAACAAAATGAATCCGACACCAGTATTTTATCACGCATAATTTATCAACTTTATATTAATTGATCTAACCCTAGTGATTAAGGTAACTTTACAGCTTCCGTCTCTCAGACTGGAACACAATGTCAATTTGTCATAAAAAAATGAAATTAAAAATTGTTCCTCGGCCTTTCGCCTTCCGCATAATTCCGTTCTATTGATGACTAATTTAATAGAATTCTAGAATGATGGTCATAAAATATGCTGCCACGCCCACAAGATGTTTACGAAATTGTCTCATTGTATACGTCAGTTTGCGGCTTGGATTGTGGTTGTGATTCAGACATTGCACGTGGAAAAAACATTCCTTTCCCTCGTCGTTCCTCCTTCAAGTTATACTTTCACAGTGCATAGCTGACTTCACTGGTGAACAGTCTGTGTTCTTTCGTATGTACACGATCTTTGCCGAAAACAGCCGATCGAAGTGCCTGCTTGGGAGGGGGGATTGCTGGCATCTTGCTGGTATCGTGATCTTCCTTTTGACGTTTGCATCATTTTTTGACGAGGAACAGTCGTTGCCGCAAGTTCGGCGACGTATTGTGATGTGCTGAAAGGGATATGAATGAAAACTCTAGTTCTTCATTGTTGGGAATATTTGTCATAATGTTGTCTATCAAGAATCGTATTAATGTATTTGCGAAAATGAAATTAGAATAGGAATTTTAGTTTAGAAATTGAAGTACGGAACCGTATGTTGTGTGGTTTTTAGTGGAACTTTAGAGATGTACGTGTTGAATACCATGGGAATTCCATGCTGAAAAGTAGACCTATTTCCAAATAATAGTGCTGAAAATGCATCTTACTTGGTGTTATTTTACATGCCAATTAAAGCATCTTCTCTTGCAATTCTAAACTATAATTTTAATATGTAGGCAGCGCGTTTGTTAAAATGACCACAGATTTCCTTTCGATGAATAAACTTGGGTTTCCCTCGCGGTCAAGAAATGAAGCGAGTTCGCAGTATACACATCAAGCAGGACAAGAGTTATTGGAAGTGGATGGAAAAGTCAAAACAAAACTGTTGTCATTTTGGAATAACATGAAGTATGGTATGTTAATACCACGTTAGACATTACAAATTTTGAAGAAAAAAAACAACTTATTTTGTAATATTTATTTTCGTATTTTGTTTTCCAAAATTGGAGCAGGAACATGCAGAAAGTGATATATTTCTCTTTTGACATTCCCCAGGATGGACTGTAAAAATGAAAACAAACTTCTCCAAAGATAGTGCTGTTTGGTTATTAGGAAAATGCTACCATCGAAGAACTGAGGAAGATGTATCAGCAGGACAAGATATACATACTATTAGGGAAGATGGTATTGAGGGTTTCAAAATTGACTTCATAAGTCGAATTTGGCTCACATATAGAAGAGAATTCCCTATCCTGAATGGATCAAACTTCACCACAGATTGTGGTTGGGGATGTATGTTACGAAGTGGTCAAATGCTAATGGCACAAGCACTTGTGTGTCATTTTCTAGGACGTGGTAAAATTATTTATATCTAATATTAAATTAAGTTTCATACGTATTTGTAAGTCTTTAAGTTTCTGATGTACTATTTATATTAATTAGAATTCTTACATTTTACTGTTGGTGTGGTCGAAGTCTGGCAATAACAAACTGAATTTTTCATTCATCACTGTTAAAGTTTGTTGTGTAAACACTATAAACCATTACTTTCAAATTTTGGTACCATATTTATCGTTTTTACATTTTCAGTGTATTTATATTCCCAAACATTCCTTACCTGCATAACCTATAGTACAATTGTAGGAGAAGTAGAATGTAAGTTTGATTATGCATGTATTGGACAAGTCTTGAATTAATATAAATTAAAACAAAGCCTACCATAACCAAGGGGTGGTCTAAATCTGAATGAATGGAAATTTATTTAGGTTCTCTTGGTTACAAATTATTTAATCTCAGCCTTTCAGAAATCTAGACTTTTGTGATATATGTATACATATCATTGACATCATTTAGTTGTTTTGGTGGTGCATTTCATTTTTAAACCACACATGTAAATGAAGCTGTATTCACATGTAACAAGAAAAGAGTGTATGTGATTTATTTGGTTGTTTTAATCAAATACAGTAAAAACTATATATATAGAATGGAATTTGGATTCATTTGTGTTTATAAAAATTATTAGACCTGAGTAAGGGTATAACATTGATTATTTACTTCTTCTTATATTTACTGTTGTAGATTGGAGATGGAATCCTCATCAAGATATTAGATCACAAAAACAGTTCAGGGATGCAACTTATCATAGGAACATTATAAAATGGTTTGGTGATAGTCCCTCGCATAACAGCCCTTTATCGATTCATATGTTAGTGATGTTGGGAGAGGATTGTGGGAAGAAAGCTGGTGACTGGTATGGACCAAATGCTGTTGCCCACATGCTCCGGTGAGACTGCAGCTATTGCATGGTACATTCATAGATAAGTAGTTTTGGGTACTTGTAAATATAAACTATGATGTTAAATGAATGGTTTGTAAATAAGAAGTTCAGACATAGTCTCATCTTGGTTTCTTTTTTGCTTAGGCCTCTCTTAGTGGCCTCTCTTTTGCCTAAGCTTTCTTTAAATGAAACTATCAGCAACCCATAATATTGCACTCAAAAGTTGGTTTGTAAAAATACTTTCTATGCATATATTTACATGTAAAAACACATAAACACACACACACACACACACACACACACACTACTATATACTATATATACTTAATAATATATAATATATATATATATATATATATATATATATAGATAGATAGATAGATAGATAGATAGATAGATAGATAGATAGATATTAATTGTCTTTTATTAATTTGTATTATTACATTTAAAAGAAAAGATCTTCAGAGCCAAGGAGAGTGAGTAAAGCTAGAACTTGGTTTCTTTGGGATGTAATGCCTTTTCCTTTTCATAATACAAGCAGTTATTCAGTTCAGTAGACTTTCATAAGAGAGAATATTTTAATTGTGCATAATGTTAGAAATATTATTCCTGTATACACTAGCAATTCTGTATTATGTTGCTAAAATTTAATATTCCAGGTCCATGCTTCTTATATGACCAAGATCTATTTATAAATTTGCACGGTGCCAAGTTATTTATATTTCGAATATGATGCCCTCTTGTCTATTCTTATTTCAAAGGTTTGCAATTTCATTTTGGACGTAACTGGTGTATCAAGTAAGGTGCAATATAAAGTTCTTTTATTTATGAGACTTGCATGTTCAACTTGATTTTGATTCACATGTAATGAAAAATTCTCCAAGCATTATTTATAACAACTAGTCTTGGATTCTAACTGGAATTAATTTTGCCTGTTATTAGAAAAACAACAGGATGCACGATTCAACCTTTTTGAATTGTTTTTAGAAACAATTTTGTTTATTGAACAATGTACTACAACGCCAAAGAATAATTTTGAAATGATATCGATATCAATGGATATGCAAAACAAAATTCATAATGGGGAAAAAATAATATAATAAGATCAAAATGAATTAAAAAAATAAAGTTATTTAAAACATTGAATACATGGATTGATCATGGAAAAAGGCACACATAAGTAAATAAAATTTTCAATATAGTGTGCAGAAATCAGTATTGCATGTAATGCACAATCCAATTAATTTTGTTCAATGGTTTTATGTAAGCATAAAATTCATCGGAAATTTTACTTCAATTTCAATTAATGTTCTTTATGAGAATTTGAAGTTATATATCTTCACAGGGTGCAAATTGATGGGTGATGCACTTGTGTGAGTGTGTGTCTGGGATAATCTTTTCTAGAGATTTTAAGTAGCTTGCAAGTGGTAAACACAGTTCTTGATTTCTGGTGGAGTGGTTTTCCAGTATCTCAGAACAAAATAGAAGAACAGGACAGAGAACAAACATTTGGCAATTTCAGTTTTTAATTCATCCAACTTTTGTGTATTCATAACGCTTAAGTATATAATTTCAACAAATGTAATAAAAGTATTAGTAAAAAACAATAAAATATGATTATAAATTCTTAATTTTTTATTTTCTGTTATTATCATTACATTCACCTAGAGACAATGCTACCACTGTTACTTGTTATTAAGTATAATTTATTATTATTAAATTCTATTATAAATATACTACTGTTTCTGTTGAATTAACAATTAATTAACGATGCATTCCAGGAACTAAAATTTTATAAATAGGGTACTGAGAAAAACTAAAAGGAAGGTAATTGGAAAGTAGCATCATTACTGTTATTCTATTTGCCTTGAGAAAGCAGAAATGGTGATGCAAGAGATGTAGAGGAATAATTATTTTTGAAAAGAGGGTTCACTTTGTGTGTGTGTGATCCATACACGAAAAGATCATTGAAGGGAGAAATATTTCCCATCTTGAGTGTTAATTTTATTGCTACTCTTGATAAACACAACTAATTGTGACTGACATTTTGTCGAATTTGTTTTGTGTAGTTTTGTAAATCAGCTAGTGGTCAATTGTTTCTGTGTGTTTAAAGGCGAGCTGTGGAGCAAGGATCTCAGCAGACAGCAGAACTTTCAAATTTGAATGTGTATGTTGCACAGGATTGTGCAGGTGAGTATTTTCAAATTCATAAAATTAAACGGGAAGTTCTGTCTGATTTACCAACACATTTTATTTGTAATGCTATGATTAAGACGCTAGAATGGTTTGAGATAAATAATTTTAATAGTTTGAGTAGTTAAGGCTGTCTGCCAACACCCAGAAGGTTCAGCAGGGTGTAAATACATCTTATTGATTCGCAGAAAGTATTGAAATGTATAAAAGTCATTTTTTGAAAACCCAAAAGACAATATTGATTTGAAAATAAGCTGCACTTTCTTTCCAGAATTCTAATGCCAAAGGTGTCACTGATATTCATAAACGTAGAAAAATATTTTCATACGTTTTTTAAATACTTACACAATTTGATATTTGAATTATATATCTAAAACCTCTGTAGAGTCAATGAACCTTGCAGTGTAAAGAGCAAAGGTAGTAGTAAAAAAAGCTCTATAATGTAATGATGCCAAGTGTAATTTTGCCATTAGAGCTGTTTTTAGTTTCTTAATTGTTACAAATGATTGAACTCTTCAAAGATTTGACTGACCAGCGCAAAATTGTGTAAAGTTTTCTTACTACCTCCTAATCTAATTGATTTTTTCCCCCTATTCTTCCTAAGAATTTAAGGTAGCATATTATTTTATAGTATTATTGTCTTTCTTAACTGCATTTTAAAGGTGCTGCATTCTTCAAGGTACCATAATACTAGTTATAGAACATGAATTGCAGAATGGATTTTGGGATTCGATTTATCTTCAACACTCAAATTTGTTTTTTCGGGAAAACTGCTTGATTGAAATTGTGATTGGTTTGCACTCTACTCATATGCGTAAAGGTGAATGAACATGTTTTTAATTTTGTATATCAGATAATTTGAGCATGCGAATTGGCTCAAATGAGTTTGCTTATCAGAATGTCTAACTGCATGAGCTTATTAGAGTAGGTGAACTACATTTGATACAATTTTCCTATTTCGGGCTGTAATACAAGGATTGGAAAGAAATTACTTAAGAAAGATGTTTAAAAGTCAGTGTTTGTAGGTCTCAAAATGTTAAATTTCTGCTTTGTTTTTGCCAAAAAAATAATAGGAAGTGACATCTTTCTTAATAATGATTTAAATCATTTTTAAAACAATCTAAATGTACCATTAACATAATTTTGTTTTTATGAATAATGTGTATTGTCATTTAGTAATAGAATAAGTGTAATAATATATATTAATATAGTGTAATATACAGGTCTTAAAATGCATTTTCCTGAAGTATGTTTTGAAAAACAAATTATATTTATAGGTTGTAAGGTTTCCCGTTATTTACGACAATAAATAAATACAAAAAATACACATTTAACCATTCATTAGAAGTTACATATTATGTTTTGGGGGCAAAACCTGCCCATAGTCTTCAGGTGTATACTAAACTCTAAATTAAACAAGAACATTTTCGAGAGAGCGTAGGGTTCCATGGCCGGAGTCAGTATTTACTAGGCTGCCTAGGTGACGCCGCGTCCATGGCGAAGGTGCCGACATTTCGGTCGCCATTCTGCGACAGAACGACGTCGGCACCTTCGCCACGGACGCTGCGTCACCCGGACAGCCTAGTAAATAAGTACATTTTCTTCCAAAATAACTCTACAAATTTCATTCATTAATTGATGTTTCTGGTCATGTCATCTGCTGTGTCCCATTAGTGTAGCAATGTTTATCTGGAGGGTGGCAGTGTTCTTCCCCCACTGGATGGTGAGATCCAATACTGACGTAAAAGTTACCTTGTGGAGGATTTCTCCCTCCGGGAATTTCCTCCAGCAGACCTCTGCCCCAACCAGGGCAAGCTCTTAAGTTCCTGTCTCCCTGCATGTGTCATAGTATGGTGCATGTAAATGTTAATGTGTACATAAGAGGAAGAGGAAGGAAACATTGATTGTGGTCCATGGCCTGTTTGTTTGGATATTGCTCCAGCTTTTATCCGTTTTTGATTGGAGAAACCATGGAAAACCACCAATCGGAGCAACACAAAAATTCTCTTCTCGATATCGGCTGAATTCTGTGTAACTGCATACCTAGTGTTGAAAATCTGCCACCATCAAGGACTCAAATCCTAGGACTTCCTGGCCAGTCAGTGATAATACTGACTCTGAGCTACACTCAGCTGGTTTCAGTCCACCACTTGCTTGTATTTTTAAGTGTCCAAGTGTCTTACGTGAGGGGTATGAAGTTTTTTGAAATGAAATTTTTAAACGAGTTATAAATGTAAAAATAATTAAAAAAGATTTCAACGATTGATGAATCTTTTTGAGCATGAAAAAGTTAGAGGTCAGGATAAGAAATATCTTAACACGAGAAGAAAATGTAATTAAAAATGAGTAAGACAGGTTTTTATTATTTGGAATATCCTAAATCTGATGTAAGTGAATGTAAGCATATGATTAAGGAAAGAATGCAAGAGCACTAAAATAACATCTTGGAAAAAGTTCCTGGAATTGATTCTGTTTCACAAAATTGATGGAGACATCATTCCTTTGATTTTTAAAAAGCCTGTTAATTTTGATACAGACATGAGACTTTATCCTCATTTAATTTCAGAATCTTCAAATTAAATTAGATGAAAACTCAACACCAGGTTGAATCCAACATATTTAGAACAGCTTATGATAACATTCATGAAGCTTAGAAACACTTGAAATCTGTCATGAAACTTTTATACAAGCACAACTTTTTATACCCCCACTCTTTTTTCTTTCTCATCTTGTTTCTTAATAATCATAAGCTGTATTCCCTAATATAATCCTACTCTCATGAAAAGTTTTTTTACTGAATATGCTAGGTTAAATTGAATAAGGCAAGTCTTTATCTCTCTGTGCTACTTATTCTCACTCCAATTCATTTCAAAAATTTTCTCTCGCTTAAATATTTTGTTTCAGAAACTGTAGTGTTATTTTTAAAAGGGATGTGTTGTGTTTAATTTGCAATTCAGTTTTCAGAAGATATGGACGTATATTGTCCAGGAAATGTAAAATGTTACTGCTGAATAGATAAATATACATTATTATGAATTTATTGATTGGATATATTATTTATTCGGAATAATTGGAAATCTTTCAACCTATAATCATTATAATGGACAGTCATCCCTGGTTGAGAAAAAACAGCAGTCTTAACAATTTATGACATTGTTCTGTACATTTAAATTTAACTATTTTAGTGTACCTTCAAGATGTCAAAGATGAGTGTGGATGGGACAGACACATTGAAAAGAAGCATAAGTCAAAATCTCTTGTATTACTTATTCCCCTGAGGTTGGGAATAGAGAAGATGAATTCTGCATATTCACATTGTCTAATAGAAATGCTTTCTTTGCCTTATTGTGTGGGAATTATTGGAGGCAGACCGAAGCATTCTCTGTACTTTGTAGGTTACCAAGGTATTTATATTTTAAATAAGTGAGAAAATAGATATTTATGTATGTGTAGGTTATTTTTTGAATTTTAATTTTCAAGCTTGTCTGTTTCAAGTCATGTGTTTTAGAGCTCCTGCAGTGTCATATTCATGTTTTGAATAAAACAAATTTAATTATTCTGTAGATGACAAGTTAATTCACTTGGACCCACATTATTGCCAACCTGTGGTGGATGTTTGGCAACATGATTTCCCATTATCTACATTCCATTGTCGATCTCCACGGAAGATGAATGTTTCAAAACTTGATCCATCTTGTTGTCTGGGATTTTACTGCAAAGATTTAGTGGAATTTAATGACTTTATTGAAAGTGTGCAACAGGTAATATATTGTTTTTCTTTTAATGTTATAATTTTCATCTCCTTGACGTCATTGTGATTGCATGAACAACGTTGCAGGGGCTGGTTCCTGCTGGTGATCGTTCAGAATATCCCATGTTTGTGTTTTGTGAAGGTCGGAGCCATGAAGCTCTGGCAACCCAGAGAATTTCCATCCCAGATGGGCCTCAACCAAATCGCAGAGAGATAGACTCTGATGATGATCTGGAAAGTGAAGAATTTGAAATTGTGTGATAACATGGATAGTTATAGCCAATGAGTGTGTTCTGTTATAGTCAAGTAATTATTTTTGTGTTGTATTATTGTAGAATAACTACAATTTTTGTTAAAATACAAGGTGTATTTGTGTCTTGATTAAATTCCAAATGACCTCATTTAATTGTACTAATTAATTTGATTTGGATACTATCTAATTGAAAGTGTGTTTCTTGTGAAGTGTTTTAAAAGCATGGAAGGCATCTTTCTAATGGTAGTTGAAACGATGGGATTTATTTACCCAATTTCACTAAAAGATTCAAAAACATACTTTTCAGTGGGAATGTTTTTATAATTTATTGTTTTGTTCATATTAACTATTGATTTCTAGTTAAATAGTTCAAGTACTTAGAAAAATAATATAATTTTGATGTTGATATATTTATAGCAAATGATTAGGTCGTACAAAAAACCTTCAATTATGCAAGAAAAAATATTAGAAACAAATTTTCACGAATAAGAAAAAATGCAAAAATTGCCCAAAAGCTTCCAGGAAATAATCATGTCATATCGGCAGTATATTGGAAATATTTTAAATGCAAAAGCAATCCAGAAAGATACTGATTGGTCATTGCATTGTCTTCATTTTACAGCCTGAAACATCTTAATCAAGTACCTCTGATAATAATTGTGACATAATCCAGAGTAAATAAACTATTTCAAAACCTAACAAGTGCCCATGACTTTTAAACACAATTGTATAATACAAAACCACTGTTCACTTTTCCATACAATGAAACCTGTCTTAAGTAATCACTTAGAGAAAGCCAGAGTCTATAGAGAATTTGATTGGAAGAGCCATTGGCGTAGGTGGCTGGTTAATGGGGAATATGGGAAACAAACATCTAGTCTTAAGTTTGACACCTTTTAAATTACACTTAAAATTCAAAATACTGGAGGCTTTTTTTGCACAAGTGCTCTTAAAGAACTAATTTACAAAATCTTTCTATTCCCAACATTTGGACCAATTTCTTTTTCATGACGTAGGTTGTTTCTTCTCATTTGTGGACTTGCTACAATTTAAATCCAAAGGAAACTTCAGAGCTTGCAAAAAAATTATTTTTACTTATGTCAAACTGGAATTAACACCTGTAAAATATGCAACTCTTGCTATCAGTATTCTAAGTTATCTGACATTGTGTCCCAAATTAAGATGATGCTGAATCAATGGTAATCTTCATCAGAATTTCTATAGTGTTACGGATCAAAATTGCAAATTTGTAAGGAAGATGTGACAGACTAATTCGGGGTAATCCATAAAATGTTCATGACCGTGAAGCCAAGAGACTGCTTAAAAGAAAATGTGATTACATCTTATGGTGAAAAATCAATTAGCCAATATTTATGGAAGTGGCTGTTTCAGTTGGTTTCGCTGCACTTGTTTGGATATTATAATCATTGTTTGGGAAAAGGCAATCACAACTTCAAAAATGTAATTTTTGCTGTATAATTGACTTATTTAAAAAAGGCAAGTTTCTTTGATGACCAAACTATTGCACACTGGAATTGACTCTCCTGATAAATGACTTTGTTTTGTGATAAGTCTTCTTGTCAGTTGACAAATAAAAGTCGAGTAGACTCTCTTTTTTCTTCTGGAATGTTATCAGTAAACAATCAGTGAATTTTAATAGGAATTATAGTAACTGGGGAAAATGTCTGCAATAATGAATGCAAAGAAATGTATAAAGTTAAATGCCAAGCTACTTGCAGCATATTTTCAGAAGCCTTCTTTTGTTTTTTAGTATGAAGTTCAGTACACTTTCATTTGCATTTAAATCACAACCACCTTGACATAACCCCCCTCCCCTTCCTAAACCCTCCTAAAAAGATCTGATTAGAAAAAACTCAATCTTCAAATGACATGAATATGTAAAGGATATTTTAACTTTTGACAAACTTCAAATTTACTTTACATTAAATAAGTTTAGCTATCTCATAAAATGGAAATTATTAATTTTTCACAAACATTCAGTTTGTGTATTATAATGGTGCTGTATGATATTAACATTTGGTAAAACATGTTACAAAATAAATTATTGAAAGTAAGTATCCTTGTAGTGTGATGGTAAATGATGATTATGATTAATTGATGGTTGTGGAAAAAGCGAGATTCATTCATTAGTGCTGTTATTTTTTATCAAGGAAAATGCATCTTAATATGAACGGTATAGTGTTTTTCCCTTTTAATTTATGAATGTAATCATAATTTGAATTTATCATGTAGATGTAATAAACTTGTGGATACAAATATACATTTAATTTCTTTTTAAACACAGTCTGAAATACTTTCATTACAATGAGATTGCAACCCAATTCCAGAAGGACAGTCTAGATCCACTGCTTTTTTAAATGAATGAAAAAAGGTCAATTGAAATAAGGAGCCTCACAATTTTACTGTAATTTGTTTGAAATACCTTGTTTCTAAAATATTTTCCCTGTTTATAAGAAAGTTTTACCTTTGTGTAAAGCTCCTTTATTTCTTAGGCATATGTGAACATACATGTTTCATTAACACAGCAAAACATCTATTAAGCAACTACTGTTCGTTCCATGCAAACAGTGAACTTTTGGAGGGGTGGTTGCTTAGAAGGGGAAATCTTTATTACAAAAAATAGTCTATTATCACTTGACATTGGATTATTAGGGGAGTACCCACAAAGAAAAAGAATATTCACATTTTGTACAATTTTTGAGAAATATCTGAGATCATTGAAGACTTTATGCCTTCAAATGCATTATACACACCTCTAATGTAAAGATTAAAATATATAAATTGTAATTAAAAATATTTCTGCCAAAAAATGTTGTATATTGTGCTTGGTCCTTACAAAAAACTGGGAGCCATATTTGAGGAAATCTTGTATAGGTACTTTTGAGAAATAATAATAATAAATAATAATAATTCTAATAAATAATAATATTTGTCACATAAATACAGCATATGCCATGTATGACAATTCAAGATATGTATATAATCATACAATGTATAATACACGTATTTCTAAAAATTAAATGCAAGACATAAATAATAATTGAATTCAATTTTCCTACTAAATACAAAATAATGGAATGCTAATTAATTTTGACAATGGTAGTGTAAGAAAACTAAAATTAATATCATTTGGTATCAAAATATGCAACAAAGCACAAAAATTATTAGTACTAGTTTATATTGATGTAGGTATGTGTTTATGATGTATATTCTTTTGTACTGTAGAATGAATGGTATAACAGGAAAGCTTTCCGTTTACTTTTGAATGTGTGTATTGTGTTTAAGATTTTAAATTTGCTCAGGAGTTTGTTATAAGTGTAATGCCTTCTGTAAGGGAACTTTTTTGAAAGAGTGCAGTTTCTCTGTGTGGGACTTTTTGACCACCATTGTAAAAGACAATATTAAGCCATAACCCATAAGAATGAATTCTGCCTGTAATAACCAGTATTAAACTGGAATGATTGACTGGTGTTACCAGGCATATCAACTACTAACGTTAAGTCCCATAAGTGTAGTGCATTTTTTATTGTGGGTGGTTATGGTGGTCTTGCGCTACCGGACGGCTACATCTGGTGCCATCACATGTCAACTAGTGTGATTTTCCCGGCCCAGCTGGGACAAATTCTAAACTCCCGACTGATCTAACATGTGTAGTAGTGTAGTGCATGTATGTGTAAGAAAAGGTTGAAGATGGGACAAGGAAGAGGAAGAAAAAATAGTGCATGGTCCATGGCTTGTTTGTTAGGGTACTGATCCGGTGTTCGCCTAGTATTGAATGGAGAAACTACGGAAAACTACAGATGAGAGCAGCCAGCCGCTGGAAATCTTCTCCAGATAGTAGCAAAATTCGACCAAGCTATGTAGTTAGTGTTGAAAAATCCTGCCACCGTTGGGAGTAAGACAGTGCATTGCACCTAGACATTGCAGTGTCCCGGTCAGCGGCACCACACTGACATCAATTGATGCCCTGAGCCACCTAAGCCGATCCATTAACTGGAGTTCAACGCATTGCTTTCATAACGTCCACCCCCCCCCGCCCCCCCCCCCCAATCAAAATTAGACAAAGCCCGGTTAAAAACCATCAACAGCAAATGTTCTACAATATTTGGAGATAGAAAACATTGTGAACAAACACTAATGATTCAATAAGAATGCAGAAAATAAAAACAATTTTATTCCCACACAGAATCCAGTAGTATAATCATACACTTGTATAACAACAGTTGTGAAAATACAACAATCACAGTTTGGCAATTTTCTGATATTTACTGTTCTTATTGCATTTTGATATAAAAACTTACAGATAACAATAATTCAGTTAAAGGCCCTTAACAATAATTTTGGAATGAGTGAACCACAATTTATAAATAAGTTTCCTCTGTTTCTTCATCTCCATGCTAATGAGAAATCTATATCAACGTGACTCTCGCAGAGTGGGATAAGCAAAGAGCAAGTGTGAGAATTAATTGGTGGAAGCCCTAAGTTTATAGAGCTTTTTGTTACCTAAAATGTCTCTGCATTAAATACTACAATGCTAAGTGGATACTTCAATCCACTGGCACATGATATTCACAACCTTTTGATGCTTTGAATTCACCTTTCATTGTATTATATTCTCTACATAAAAAATAGCAAAACGTAAACTTGGAATTAAGTACATAATTCAGGTAGTGCCTTAACAACATTTATCGAAGTAATTATTAGTAGAACAATTTTTAAGTACAAAATGTGTATTTTTATCACAATCTTCACATTAATTTACATTTAATATACTATGTTGTTCAATAATATCCGTCATATTTCTGTTAATAGTGCATCTATGTTTCAGCCAAATTATAAAGTACGAGAGGAAATATAAGAATTTAGAACAAATTAATTAAAAAAATATTAACAACACATTAATTTGCAACTAATGTTCACACTATGAAAGAATGACATTTTTCGTTACACATTCGAACAAAGTTCGAATGTGAGAAGTATTTGTTTCACTATTTACCTTAAATTCTGGAATTTTCACAATTGCTTTTTTCTCTTGTTTTTAGTAAAAGTGGATGGCTGATTAATGAATAGTACTATAAAAATAAAGATACTCTGACCAGTTGAAATTCTATTTAGCAATATATATATGCATTGTTTAATACTAAATTCTTATTGTCAACACTTTTCTAAGTAATATTTCATTTACATTGTGCACAACACCAAATATTCTATATAAATGATCTGGTATCTAAAATAACAATTTGCACTTTCTGAGGTATTGAGATATTGTTTTCATGATACTCTATAAAATAAATTGTGCTTATTAATATCTATAGGCACCTTTGCTCTATAAACATAATATGTCCTTGCAAATGCACATATTCTATGACAATCTCAGCTTGCATAATAAAATGATTCTCTTTGTGAGAAAGGAAAAAAATTAATTAAATTGAAGAATTAAAACACAATCATTAAAGAGAGTATATTAACATTAGGAATATTCACACTAAATGTTTTTCAGTAAAAGTAACAGAAGAAAAGAAACTTCTTTCAATTAATACTTTGGAAAACAAAATAAAAATTGAACACAAATACCAAAAGGAAATAAAAATCTTCCAAACAAAAAAAGTTGTACCTTCTTAAAATATCACTGTGCACTGAAATATAAGAAATCTTAAGATATGTATTATTCTGTGATTTAAAATATTACAATGAAACTTTTCACTGAGCATGTTTTAAATGAATACTTCATATTTTGGAATTGCACAAAAAATTAATGTCAACTCATATTTCAAGCAAATGCCCATTTCTAGAATAGTTCAAACTGATTCCCAAATGCTCAGTTTGAAGTCTTATAACAGCCTTTTCCATGCATAATATCATTATAATTAATTACTTGAGCTGCATTTGACTTTTGGTTCTATAATAGAAGACAAAAAATCTTGTACTTTTGGCCATATTTCATCTGAAGTTTTGCCATGAAAATCATGGACAACATTAAAATGCTTGTAGAATTCCAACACTGGATGTATAATTTCAGCATATTCATTCAATCTTCTTTTTACAGCTTCTGGTTGATCATCTGGTCGTTGAATTAAATCTTCTCCAGTCACATCATCTTTACCCTGAGTTAAAAATAGAAAATTAAACTACAGAATTCACCACAGATTAGTGAATTATCATGTACAGTTCAATTTATTACACATACCATAATTTTTGGAGGAGAAAATTCTGTATTGTAAATTCTTCCACTACGGGCATGTATCCATCTCTGTTGCACTCTATGAATAATAACATCGTATGGTACTATAAGATTAATAACAACATTTACTGGAAATGCCCGACTCAATTCCAAAGCTTGATTTCTCGTTCTTGGAAAACCTGCAGATTTGCAAAAGTAGTCAGTTCATTTTCGTGATTGTAAGTCTTAAATTGACAAATTAATGAAATGTGTGATAATACAAACCATCTAAAAGCCAATTGCTAGTTTTTAATTTTTTTAACTCATCAATAACCAAATTTATAATTAGTTTATCTGGCACTAATAAACCTTCAGTAATATACTTGTTGGCTGCTTGCCCCAATTCTGCAAAAAGAATTTGTCTATACAATCTTATAATTATGAAACACCATTTGACACATAGGAAATTGTTAAATAATATTTGGAATAGAAAATAATGGCATGCCAGATTATAGCAAAATATAAGAGAGTAAAGAAGCAAGAAAATTAAGGAATGAGATGGTTATAAATTACTTGAATAACTATCATGGGAAAGCGTGTAAGTTTCACACACACCAGGAAGAATTCCCACTTTGGCTGGACAAGTGACAAAAGAAGGAAAATGAGTTTTGTTTTTTTTTGAACACGATAATACAAACGTCAACCATTAAAAAATACAACAAAACATTTATGGCCTAAAAGAAATACCTGTTTTATTCAAAATGTGGTGCCTTAATAAGTCACCGCTCGATAGATGTTGAACATCAAAACTTTTCACAATACGATTTGAGATTGTTCCTTTTCCTGAAGCCGGGGCACCGATTATAAGTGCTCGCAGTAAACTAGACTTCATGACTGAAGTGATTAAACAATCTTCATAAATCACACGGAACAGATTTCTGTTTGGGCGTGTGCGTTATCCTCTACGCTGAAGTTGTCACAGTCTGAAACGAAAGAATATTCAGTGATTACCTTTGGACTTAATGAATTATTATGTAATAAACTCGACATTTGCGAAATCTATTGGTTATAGTACGAACAATACGTTGGAGTATGTAAGTCGGGAAGTTTTAAAGGCATATAAGTTGCTGAGGGAGGTTTTTTAGTTGTTTCTTAGCTAACATTAACCTAGCAATAAATTCAAGAAAACACAAAAACTATAATGATGTATGCGTAACTCACTGTTATCGTACACATATTACGTCACTTGATCTGCTTATGATCAGAACCCTAGCACAGACACATTAATATATTATATCCTATTTCTGCTGTATGAAATCCACAATTTCAAATTCCCACCTCTCTCTTCGCAAATTGTACAGTTTTCATGATCAGTGATATGTTGGCAACAGTGGAGAATTAATAGAATGCCATACAATGGTGTACTCTTCATCGAATAATACAGTGTTTGGTCGGTATTGGTGATAGAACCAATTAACTATGGTATCAACTTGGTACCAAATATTCTGTTTTCATCAGATGCTCTGTATTATGCTGGTTATATTCACAGACCACTGTTTGCTTATAGTTATCAGAAACGGAGTCTGGCGAACATTTAGGGGTTGGGGTCAGCCATCATAGAGTTATACACTAGGATTTATTTCAGAGTGCACATGACGTAAATCAGCTGTTGCGGCTTCATCCAATCGGAAGCTTATATGTCGCTACTGTGACGTCACTATGGGGATGTTCAAGCTACCGATGGGATGAAACCATGATTAGCTGACTTACGTCAAGTGCACGGGTAATAAATCCTAGTAGTAAAATCTGTCTAAGCCGGAATCGATCGGCGAAAAAATTCCGGTTTAAGGAGGTTTCCGTTTTATGGAAGGTTGTTCATTTTATGACACTTATGATAATGATATTTCTTCACTGAAAAAAGGCGTAAATTACATTACTTCATTATAATAATAAAAATACAATAAAGTTTTTAAGCAAGAAATCACCAATAAATTAATGTTAAAAACTCTTCATTGATAGCTTCTCAGTTGGAAAATATACACCCACTGCCTAATGGCTGTACTCGAACCGCTTGCTGTCTCTCAATGCACAATGGGCCACAACCCAGTACAATGCCTTTCTAATACCTTCGTATGGCCTTGGGAAATGGGTATCTGATCGAGGGGTAATGATTTTCAACGCGGGGCAGGGTGATGCGTGAATAGGAGCCATACCTATAAACTTTCACACTCAGAGTCGGGAGAGAGAAAATTCCCCTTCGGCCTGCGCCGTAAGAGACAGCTATTCCAACGTCGAATTCTACGCCGACAGCTGAAGCCCTCTCCTTCAATATCCGGCTGCCACGACTAAGTTGCAAGTCACGAGGATAGACAATTTAAACATGCTCGAAGACGCATTTATTTCATTAAAAATATCTCGCGGGTCTCTGCCAATTGCAGTAAATTCACAGGAATTCCGTATTATAAAGATTTTTTTCAACAGGCCATGAAAAACCATTCTGTTTTCGCGTCGGAGAGGTTCCGTTTTATGATGTGTAAAATGCAATTTAACTTCATGGCCGGAGGAATTTTCCGGTTATGGCAGGTTTCCGGCTTGTACAGGTTCCGGTAAATAATATGCAATATAATAACAAATATGTGTTGAAGATATGATACTATACAATATTTTTGTTTAAACAATTACACAATTCCATCATAAGTGACTATTAAATAAGTTTTGCCAAATATGGGAAGGTAAACGAAAACTCTAGGCCTTGGGGAGAGGGGGCATGTTCTTTATGCCCCCCTTGAATCCGCCGATGGTTTTATTTATGGTGGAAATAATATAGTCCCACAATATTTTCATTTCCATTCCATTCCACCTTTTGCATTCCAATAATATATTTGCACGTCACACACAGTTTTTACGGTTTTTGACATAAACAAACAAATAAATAAATACATCATGGTTATATTATTAGTGCACGTTATTTCGCCCTCCGACTGAAATTCCTAATGCCGATCATTTTTTTGGTGGAGGAATCGTACATTTTTGTCAAATAATTAACATACTTGTTATATTGTATCTTATTTATGTTCTACACATATGATAATATACAATATTATTGTTTAAATCATTACATTTTTCGAATATAAATATTTAAATATGAATATATAATTATATTATATGAACTTTTATAACTTATATAACTATTATAACTTATTTGATTATTTAAATAAATGTTTCCAAATAAAGGAAGGTAAACGAAAACTTTAGGCCTTTCAGTAGCCAGTCTCTTAGGGTTCCCTTTCTTTAATTTTTCACTGCTTTAAAACTCTTTACTAACGAGATATATTTTTACTAGCAAATAGATAAAACATATTAGAAGGTAAATGAATCTAATGCAATTAACTTGATAACAATGCTACACTTAACGTATACAATTGATGACTTGGAGTCTGTCTTCCCCAATTGTGGTACAACAATACCCCAAATTGTCTTGTTAAAAAAATAAAATCAGGGATTGAAAATATTTACGGAAATAAAATATTTTATTGAGTTAGGTTACGGGGCCCAATACAATATTCCCAGAGGGGTCACGGCCCCCTGACCTGTGCCCCACGCCCTTACTATTGTCGTTTGTACCCGACAAATTTAATTCGTTTTCAACTATTTCATTTCACATTAATACAGAATTCAAGGAATGCAGTGTTTGGATAACACGTGGGATTAGAAAATCATGTATTATCAAACAAATTATATATTTCATTTCTAAGAATCATAACGTATCCCATACTCTACTTCCAAAAATATAATGGTAATGATACCGAAGGAAACGTTCTCGCAAGAGCGGCTTTTCTCTTCAACCAATATTTTTCGAAAAGTGCTGTTGAACTCACGATAAAGATACAATATTCAACATCAGCGTTCCCTCAAACATTTTCGAAACGATCATAGTCGTGCGCAGGCTAAAACAAGACGGAAATTATACTTCCTCGGCCCTCTTAACCATTCATTTTTTGAATTTACATATTAGATTCTACTAATATTGACATTTCAGTAATTTTTTGAATTATTAGAATGTATTTTTGAACGGTAGTAGAGGGGTCGTCTGCGACTTGGTCGAATTTATTTGGAATACTTCCGTATGCTTTTTTGGCATTTCTAGTTGTATTCGACTGCTTTTTACTTTCTCGCCCTTAAAACTCTGTAGGAAGAGAAAGCATTGTAATCGTGCATCGGAAAACGGGAAATTTTTCGACAAAAACTCTGATTACCGAGCTCTGGCAAAGAAACAGTGGTTAAATCTTCTTCTTATATGTAATAAATAAATTCCTCTAACAATAATAACTTTTGGTGGTCTGATGTCGCCCAGGGTTTCGGTGGTGTAGGCGATGCTAGTAAACCTGCCCCAGTAAGTACTGAGAAGCCCTCCTGTAATGGGATCGCAACCGTATGGCTCAACAGCCTGTAAAGGGTTTGCCATTGCGTGGCTGACAAGTCCACTCTCTGACCTCATCGCGGTGACTCCTGGCAATGAATCTCGGGGCAACTTGAGGTGAATCCAAGAGAGATGGGCAATAGGCGAGTCTCTGGCGTCTTAAAACGGGAGCATCTAGCTAAGGGAAGGAAATCCCTCACGGAAAAAACATCTCGGGGACCCCACGTCACGGGGGAAGGGGGTCGAGGGTCTGTAGCTTACGGCCCCGCCGTGCTCCTCGGAGCGACTGGCAGCGGACACTATTAACGAAGCCTCGGACATGGGTGCACATGGTGGTGCGCCCCGTGAACAACAGGCCACCATTTATGACGACCCTAGCTTGGAACGGCTCATGATTAGGATTTCCTTCGAGGCGAGTCGCTACGTACATTGTGCCCAGAAAGGACGGGGTGGCTACATGACCACTGATTTGAATAACATGGTTCGGCATCAGGATACTATCCATAGCGATTATCCCCCTAATCTTTTTATGCTCAATATGCAGCAAGAATTACAAAGGCCAGCTTTCAGCTTTGAGTCATTTCCCTAAGTGCCTGGGTCCGAAACAATCTAAAGGAGACTTTATATGTGAGTTAGGCTCCGCCAATTTCGCAACCAAATCAGGGCTCTCGCAACATTTGCGCCACGTTCATCCAGACGCAGCTAATAGGGCTGGAGCTGCCAAGGCGCAGCGTAGTGGTAGGACTGCTGTGCCTAGAGCAGGGAAAGTCTTCTCTTCGGAATTATGAAAAAGGTGGCATTGGAGAAAGAGCAACCAGAGACGTCGAACGAGAATTTGGCCGCTCTATTGATTAAGACCGCCCGACAGGTGGGTGAGAAAAGAAAAGAGACTACATATCGAAGATATTTAGCAACTATTGAAAGTGAAGCTACCGTCACTATAGAGTCATCATCGTTCCCATTTGACGGTCTGCGGTCCGATGATTTGGCCATACCTTCTATTAGTGCAGCCGTTATCGCATCGCCTCGCAGTGTCATTAGCCCTCCGAAGACCCAAGTAAGCCAAATCCCTATGCTGATTTCTTCTTCTCCCTTGTATCAAAGGCCTACCATTGGGACGGGAAGAAAGCCGATGATCCCCTGCTCTGACACGTGTCAAAAGGGGGTGGAACAGGTCGAGATAAGCAAACAGCCTTGTACCGATTCCCTTCCAAAACCTCGGCCCATAGGAAGTGGCCCTGAGGAACTTGCAATGGGAGACATTGCTTATCCGGAAGCAGATTGGAGGCGATCGCCTGACGAGGAGGCCATTATAGTTTCAGAGATGAATCAGCAGCTTTCGGCAGAGCCCGTCCTCCTTGATTCTGTTTTATCTGCTGTTGAAATGGCCCCTTCCGACATCGCTGGTCGATTAGGACAGATCCAAACGTTTATTGAGTCCTCGGCTGCTATGACGCCCGGAGACGTAACTACTGAAAATTGTCTTAACAAAGCCACACTAGAAGCCAAGTCTAACTGGAGGGGAAACATGTCAACTTGGATAAGAAACTGGGGCACTTCTAAAACTAATGTAGATCAACAGCTCGTTGAGGTGGGAAATGAACTCAAAACAAATATTGAATCCCAGGACCAATTGAACGATACCTATGCAAAGTTAGTGAAGATTTTGGGCGGCTGATCTGTACCCATCACCATCATTTCTAAAGGGCCCCGTAGACATGGAGGCAAACACGCTAGGAAGCGCTACCCTTATATTCGTCTGGCTGGGATGAAAAATGCCACGGCTCCAGGACCTGATAAGATAAAAATTAGCCACATATCCTCAGGAGCAAACATTGAAATATTGTCCCTATTGTACACCCACATTTTATACAGTGCCTTTGAGCCTTCTCGGTGGAAAACTAATTGCACCATCCTTATACCAAAAGAGGGTAAGGATAATACGGTGGTCACTAACTATTGCCCCATCACAATTAGTTCTCTGCTGTGCAGAATCTTTTGAGGCATTACGGACAAACGCATTCTATCCGTGGTGAAGTTCAATCCACGCTAGAAAGGGTTTATCCCTGAACCTGGCTGTTTCGCTAATATTCAAATTCTTCATGAGGCAGTCAGTGACATGAAAAAACAGAGGGTGTTGTAGGTGCTATGCTGGATATATTCAAAGTATTTGACACTGTTCCTCACGTGGTATTAGGTGGGCTCTGTCCAGGA